ATCACCGCGCGCTAAACACACGTCAGCCACAAGGTCGCCGGCACACCGTTATCGTTGACGATGTATGGTCGCCTGTACTCGTAACTCAAGCACGTTTTGTCTACACCCAAATATCACTTTTCTCGGATGCACCCATACGATATCTCACTCTTGACCCGAGACAGACATTTCGATGTAGACAAAGTATTTCTCGAGTTTTTCATGTTACGTGTTTAAAAAGTGCGCGGACCGCTACCTTACAACTTAAAAGCTCAAAGTCCGCCACTGGCTTGTTTATATTATTTAAATAACATACGATTCAATAGCCATATTTTAACTGCTGAGCTGAAGCCGTGTCGTGCGAGTGTGCTATGATCTTAACTCTGTATAGGTACTATAAGTACAAAATACTTAGATATCTTGAATGTCCCTAAATCCCAATATTTCTAATAAAATCGCCTAATAATAAATAGTACGCAATAACAACATTTAATGAGTTTCGCATGTGTTGTAAATCTCTCGACGTTGGAATATTATTCGGTATCGTTCAAAAGCAAATATGTGAGCATTTATAAGAAGTCGTCATATCAAAGTCTGAAAATAACAATTCAAAGAAAAATAATGACTGCTTCTTATGTTACCTGAATACAATTTATGGAAAAGTTATAGCAGTTACCTATAACTCGTTTGGTTTATATAAAAGTTTCTAGAAGTAACAGAGAGTAAACAAGCTATTAAATACGAAAAAAAATAACTGAAAAAAAAACACGAAGATAACACGAGTTGACGAAGTTTTACATAACACCAATTTACGTACAAAACTTAAGTATTAGAAAAAAAAAATACTAGTGTACAGATTATACTGTAATTCGTGTTACTAAATAGTTTAATTATTAATACTTTCATCAAGTTTTCGACTCGAATAAGATGACAAACAACCAAGTTTAACAATAATGTATGTACATTGTACATTCTTGCTTAATGTGCTCATTAACGACTTTATTATCTACTAACAAGTGAAAATAGTCATTAAAATTTTTAATACACACAGGATTTCCAAATACAAAACAGTTTCTATTTTAGAATTAACACTTGGCTAAATCTTATTGTCGAATCCGTAGTGGTTGAGTTAACACTCAAGTTACTGACAAGTCTACGTATTGCAGAGACTACTGCTAGCTGAAACTAAGATGTCCAAATTAGGTTCGTCCAAAACTAAAAATAGTTGTGTCATTCGGGCTCTATTCTATAACGTAGCAAGCACGGGCGTCACAGAGGGCGGCGGCGTCTCGGAGACGCAACAGGCTGCCCGCCCCCCACTAGAGACCCCCACTCACCCCCCATTCGCGCAACAGGCGCCCGACTTACTTGTTGAATCGACCGACCTACTAACGTTACCATGAACACGCGAAAAATGGCCAAACGAAACGACGAACCGCAGTTTCGGTGTCGATATGAAATAAGGAAAACGACGCTGGACTGAATTTGTCTTTTATTAGATCGCCTCTTACGAGGATACGTTCGGGCAGGGAAAGGTACACATGAGCACTTTTGCGGTACATGGTGTAATATTTTTAATTGATAGGCTAGTAATATAGGCTTTTATTATCATCATGATCACCAGCTTATTAATGTTCCCAACGCTGGGGCTCAGGCCTGCCTTATAAATGGAATCGAATAATGAGTATAGGCCATGACCCACCACTCGGCTCCAGTTATTAACGAATGCAGATATAGCCGGGACCAACGGTTTAACGTGCCTTCTGAATCACGGAGGAGCTCATATCAAGAGATAATAAATTTTTAATCAACCATCCTATGACCGGCAATTACGAATGTTGCTTAACAACCGTATCGCAGACCGAACACGCTAACCACTGCACCACAAACTTTTATAAATCGGTAAATAAGGAGTGATTAAAATATTGCATAGTAAGTTTATCGCTTTAATGGCCCGGTCATACTAAGTAGAAATATTCATCAACGTAATAATTACGACGCGCCTAGGGGCAAAGGCCCCGGGCCATACTTACGTCGCGTTATTTAAAGGCATTTCAACTTAGTGTAGCCTGACCATGAGTGTGAGATCACAGTATGCAACTGCGTTACTTACTGTATGGTCATCGAAACATCCGAATTTGAAAGAATGTTATCGTACTTACAATTGTTGGTAGAAAAAGTCCGCTGGCGGGAAAAACGTCGTGTTGACGTGACGTCACAAAATTGTAAAGTTACCTTGTGTCACTCCAAGATGTCGAGAAAGATATAAATGTGTTCTTTTATCATCTAATTAATTTTAAATTAACCATTCTAAATTTATCTTAAGAAATCTTTAATTTTTTTTCCATAACATAAATCTATATATCAATGTAACAACTAGTTAAATAAATATATAGTTGACACATTGTAAGAGATAGTTCCGCAAAGGCAGGTCAAAAGCGCTTACCACTACGCTATCAAGTTCTCCTCGTTTTATTAAATGACTTCAAATAAAAGGAGTCTTGAGCTGTGCAAATATATTTCGATGCGGTTTTCAGAAAAGTATTTATTACACTTACGAGAATTTCGGTATTTAAAACGATGTAAAAAAAGAACCGATTTAAAAAAAAATGGGCGACCAGACTGCGCCCGACAGTCTGCAAACAGAAAGAGATGGTGACCACGACCGCTCTGCCAAGAGCGAAGCGACAGAGAAGCAGAGAAAAAAGGAGATTCTTCGTTTGACCCTTAAGTGTGTACGATTTTTTAGAGATATCTAACAACTTTTTTTATCAAAACACAGAACTGACTTCGAACTTCAAAAAGTGAGAAACATTAGAAAAAAGTAATATTTACCACTGTTAAAATTAAAGTCGGTTCTATTTAAATAAAAAACACATTGCCATTAAATGTTACTTGTAGCTTAATTAAATTATATATTGTATTATAGTAGAGGATAGTAACGTAGTGAAAACGTGCCAGTCTCGTAGACGCCGTTTCTGCGAGCTAGGCAGGCGACATGAGATCATTTAAGATGGGATTATGTGAAGCGCGGTGTATTCGAGAAACGTATGTTACGCACTGAATAAATATTAGAAATTGAATTAATTAGAATAGTTTTCCATGTATTTAAATATTTAATCACGGAAAAAGGCTCTTGACACTATTAAGTGAATAAGTACCCGATTCTGTTGGCAATACGAACAAACAAAATATTGTCAATGAAATTAATAAAGGTTACATTAAAATGGCGCATTTAAGTAAATTTATAAATAAATGAAGTGCAAATAAAGTATTTTTAAAAATATACTAACATATACATCAGACTAGCCGGAATTTATGAAATTTCTTCAACAAGCAAATACCTATAAAATTATACTTAGTCTTGTCTACACTTTTATCATCTTTGAAGTGAAGATTGTTAAATAATTAATTAATTTTATAGCTAGGATCTAACACTTTTCACGATCAAATCGATCGCGTGCTATAAAAAAGAATATCAATAGCTATGAAAACCGGCAAGCATAATATATGAAAAGAGCAATAAACTTCAAAGTAATAAAAGACGTATTTCGTAAACCCGTGGCTTAATAGTCTAATTTCAAAATATATCATAATCCCTATTAAAGGTATATCAATTGTGCTAGCAATTTACGTAACTTTTTAAGTCGCAACCGCTTTTCGAACGTATAATGATTTGGATGATTAAAAAACATAATAAAAACTTAGTTAAACCGGTTGAAAGATTACAATATACGAGTATTTAATTATATCTGATAAATATCAATAGCTTTTAAAATTAACGTCAAATTACCGATATCGTTCATACAATATCTTACAAAAAAAAAAACGTAATCACAATTACATGTCGAATAATTGTAACGTGAAGTTTGTGAATATCTTTCAAATTTCAAATTGAAATGGATTGCAATAGATTTTAAAAATAGACAACCAGGCCCCTGCTCGTGGCCAAACAGAAAGTTCTCTTTGTACATGGCACTCGGTCGTCTCCACCTACCGGCAAGAGATCCCGTATAAAGAAGTGTGCACGTAGCACAAAACGATTTCAATGAGTTTATCAAGCGATTAATTTATTTCTCTTCTGTTTTTTATCTCTTAATTTCGACATCATTTTCTTTACAAGCTGTAGGTTGATAGGATACAATAAATTAAAAAAATAATAATAAGCCAAATTCAATAGCTGCTTCGCCGCTGCCATACAAAATAGCTGGTACGCCCTTATACGTTACAATAGTCGCTTGGCGTGTCACATGCGCCAACACACAACATTAATTTGCCACTCGGAAACCCTTGAACGTTGAACTTGTTTCAATAGCTACCAGCCACAAACGTAACGAACACGGATAAATTTACTATGTAATAACTACCTGCTGAGCCAATGCAATGAACACACACAGTAAACGTTATTAAATAAACATGTCAAAAATGACATGTTAAAATAATAGTGGTCGATAGCACAGAACAAGAAAAAAAGTAGTTCTGTGGTTGATTGGATATTTATTCATAACTAAAATAGTGGATGATTAAGCACTTATCTTACTATTTCATAAAAAAAGAGGATTTTGTTTTTGAAAATGGAATAAGATGCGAATTTCTAGTAAATTTGTAAATCGAAATTTATTTTTAATGCTTTTTGGATTATTTTATTTCACAATCAAAGTGAAAAATAGTGTGACACGATGCTAAAAATCCATTATAACTCTGTCTTTATTGACTCCCTTGTTAAAGATAGGGAGTAAAATTCCTCATATAGAAGATCATTTTAAGTCATTATGTAACATCATTCTGTATATTTTGTCTCATATATCATCATTCTGTCTATTTTGTATACTCCATATTTGTAAAAAATCCAAAGCTAAATCTGCTAAGGCAAAATATGATGACGCTTAACTACGCACGAGTGCACATTTCCTTTTTCAAATAAAGTTTGCACTAATAAATAAACAGTGAAACGCTGAAGATTCGAGTGAAAGATGAATTACAAAATAATGTATTGTTTAACAAAAAAAAAAAAAACTTACCAACTAACGCCAAAATGACCGTGAGCAAAGGTGCTGCTGGGAATGAGACAGTCACGTTGAACTCCAGCATTTGCAGCAGATCCACTGGAACAACAAAAGAATTATTAAATATACAATTAATATAATATTTCCTTTATGATTTCCTGAGGAATTACGCCATCATTAAATATCATAAGAATTCCTATTAAATATCATATTCTCGTAACGGAAACTTATATTAGCAACGCCTAAGTGTACCTGTAACGGATGTTTCTCAATAAAAACAAAATAATATTTCCGGGAAATAATTAGTAGCATAAAGCCGGTACTAATAAGAGGAATCATAATGGATACAAAATCAGTGAAGTGATAATACACAATATAAATAAAATCTCAAATTTTATTGTTATATTGGTACTCCTTCGTTGTTAGACACCATTTCCTTTAACGTGTGTATTCGTAGACCTCATCGCATTTCAAGACGTAAAGCCGACATATTTGCATCGCTTTAAAAAGCAATACAGCAAAGGTTACTTAACTTTCGGGTGTATCGATAATAAAATGAAATCAATATTACAATTGCGACATTCAAACGAAGAGTGGTAAAGATTCTATAAGCTTAATGATTGCATTATTTTGTATTTTAATATTATATATTTTTTTAATTTCAATATATGAGTAGTACTTAATTCAAAACGAGCGCTATATACTTTTATTTATAACGGCAAATTTATTTAAATTTATGATCTTTTAATATTTGATGACATTCAATGCCTTTGTGACATACAAAAATTGTAGTTCATACTACTTTCATTGTAGTATGAACTTCATTGTAGTTTGTTGCTAAATAAAGTGAGAAAAAAAAAAGAATTTAACTAATTAATCAACACTCTTTGCCCTTAGAACAAAAATTATAGAAAAGTCAATACAAATTATTGTATTGTTATTTGCAGAGCGCCACCTATCTTTTTAGGGGAAATAGTTTAATCTTAAAGCAATACAATTTTGTTTTTGTTCCATACGAATTCAATTTGTACTCGATAATGTTTTGTGCCAAATAAACCTACACAAAAATAACGTTTCCTTGTCTAAATTCCTAACGTGCTTGGTGTACCATTTCGAAACTGCATCTATTTATCGTAAAGCAAAGTACACATAAAGTGAAGTTAAAGCGAGCGTTATGACGCGACCGGGTGGTGTCCGCATCCAACACCCCGGGGATTGCGCGCGCGCTACCCGTGATCACGCCGTGCTCCGTGAACGTATGAATGTTTCATGCGACACACGAGTAATGGTATCGTCTGAGACGGCGGATCATTCTTTACGAGCTGACAACGACACTTATAAATATACGGTTCGGTTATCCATTGCTGGACTCCGCAACGAGTCGAAACAAATATACTTTACAATCGGTACCGTACTTCTACTGAAGTTAATGCCTTTACTGTATGTCTTTTATACTGTTTACCTTTAATGAAAACTCATGAAAATCTGATTATAAAACTATGTATCACATAGTTTTTCATCACGGCTTCGCAGTTCCTTTCATAACGACTACCTGGATATCATATGCTAGCGACGACAAACTTCACACTGTATCTTATTGATAACGACAGACTTATAAACATTGTACGCAAAAAAAGTCGAAAATATTGACAAATATACGTTTCTTGTGTAATAACGCAAGAAATAAAATAAGTAACTTCACGTATTTCAATAAGTAAAAACATGCATGCACCACAGAACTTGCATTAGGCAAAGTGCGCGCAAACTCTTGGTTAGCTAATGAAATACAAAATAAGAGTGCAAAACACATTATAGAACCGAGATGAAAAAAGGGGTAGCATAGAGCAACTGCAAAACTGGATTGGCTCAGAGTTTTTGGTAAACCAGATCCGTAATAAGATAAAGGTCTTATCGCCTTTTCGTTAGCGTACTCGTCGTTCACGTACACTCCGCTCGGCACGGCTTTGCGGGCCATTGTTTGCGCACGATGGGATTATCCCGGCACAGTTACACTATCGAATAGAGCTGCCCTCGTTTCTTGACATCCCGTCTTTGATGTCACTAAGAAAATGGGCCTGCAACCTCCTTTACAATGGAACAAATAAAAAAAATCACTTCTTTTTATATTCTACCCGCGTGTGGACAAAATGCAAGTGAACAAATATTTATTCCCAATGAAAAATTGAAAATTGCAACGTCATCGTTCATCATTCATCACGCGATATTAATTTCATCGTCGCGTCGTCGCTCTCCCCGTTCGTTCCCGTTTCGTTGCGTACTTTCTGCGATTTACTGCCTGATACCAATTCATATTACGTGGCGTAAAGTATTGGTAAGGTGGCAGAAAGGAAGGCGATATTAAAAATTATGCGATTGGAGATTCTTGGAAAAAGGACTAGCACGTATTAATTTCATTAAATATGCAGACGCTGTTATTAATTTATCCAAACATAAATTACAATTTAGAAATATATATTTCTGAATATCATGTTGATTCTAAAATTGCTTTGTTCGAAGTTGTGGAAAAGATTTCATTCTTAATGTCGCAAGGACCTACTTAATAGCAACAATAGAGCTCTAATAATTGGCATCAAATCATACTTGAAATATTGCTTACTACAATAGGCACCAACCAGCGCACGTCTCATTACCTATTTTACGATATCATTAAAGTAATATTTCTTCTATATTTATCGGTTTCGGTATCGGTTTCCAATAAACGATTCCTTAAGTTTACATCAAAATATACACGTGGAAAAATATGTTTTCTACTTATATATAAACTCTTTAGAAAACATTAAAAGTAATGTTTTTTTTTTTATAAAAGATCGTAAATTAACAAAATACAATTCGTTTCGCCAGTCAAAAACGAAAAGTCTAGAGCTTTTTAGATGCGGCACATCATTATTTTCTTCTTATTTTGCTACGCCGATACCTCACAATGGCTATGGAAAATTAAGCTCAATTCGAGAGAGCAATAATTGATGGAATTACACGGCAAATCGCCTTATAGGGAGAAAATTTATGCAAATTAGATACTTAAAGTATTAACATCCTACGTAGCTTCTATCATATCTCCAGGTGATTATTTTATTTTTTCTTATTTTTAAGATGTATATAAAAGTACAGTCCTGGAAAAGCTGAGGAGCTTATTACAAGTTTGTTTTTATCATCTAACATAATTATTTTACGAGTCGCACAGTGTTTAAAAGTACATATTATTTTTATCATATATTTTTTTATAAGTTGAATTAAGCTAAAGAGTAAAATTCCCGGCTTTTTTCCTTACATAATATCATACAATATTATTCGTGAAATATATTATCATATTCTAATTCGATAAGGGTTGAGTAGAGCTTTGAATATAAGCCAAAGATCCCATATTTAGCAAATAATTCAAGCGTCGTGAATTAGTACACACGTAAGGTCACTATTTCTATGACAAAGTTTCAGTCGCTTTTTGAGTCGGCAGAAAAGAGTGAAGCTCCACAATTAATAGATCAGTTAAATGTATAACATCATATTTAATTTAAAAAAAAACTATTATTTAACACCTTATAGAGGATAAACGCTCTTCCGCAGATTTGTACTCATTTTCTCGTACATGAAATAAGCACCCAGTTAATAAGCTACATGAAGTAAGTTTCAGCAAGGACGTTTTTTTCCAATAACTTCGACAATCATCGTAAAGACCATCAATAGAGGAGACCTGATAGTTGGCTATAAGGAAGACCGGACAGTTGACTATAGAGGAGACCGTATAATTGACTATAGAGGAGACCGGATAGTTGACTATAGGGGAGACTGGATAATTTACTATAGGGGAGACTAACTGCCACAAAATCGTCAGCAGTACGCATAGCGTCGTCCGACCACAGCTGTGTATTTTAACACTCCGCTTCAGACTTGAGCGAATTGTGGGTGGGATACACAGCTGTAATCGTGACGCAACTCTGTTACTGCTGACAAGTTTTTAGCATTTAGTGTGCCTATCCCTATAATCAAATATCCTGTCTCTCTTGACAAAGACTTCCTCATAAATTATTCATTAGGAAAACTGGTATAAAAACCCATTTGGTTGATTTCGAGGTTATCGCATTTAGACAGACAGACGTGGCATAGGTACTTTGATTTTATGATATGTAAGGGTTCAAGGGATGGTCATAATAACGTGACCTTCACTTGGGTCTTTTATAATCTCTTTTTACTTAATTGCGTGACCCAAATAAGGGCAATGAATTTATTAATTTATGTATATATTTCCTTTGTGATCGACCTACGCCAGAGTATGTAAAAGTACAATCCTACGCCAGAGTATGTAAAAGTACAATCCTACGCCAGAGTGAAGAGTTATTGAAGAGATATGAAGAGTAACATAGATTTATGAATTCATTGCCCTCATTAAAATTACTTATACCGCTTTTCAGTGTTAATGTATAACGACTTGCAACCTTAAGAATAAAGTGCCATTTAAAAATAATAAACCAAAAATATATACCAATTTATTTTTCAGATAGTTACTTCATTTAAGCAAAAAAAAAAATGGTATATGTTCAAATAAGGGATGTATTTATATTTAAAAATATATATTTCCGTTGAAAAAAAGACTTCAAAAGCAGCTTAATTGACTAACAGCCAACTTAGACCTAATAGGGATAACGACTAATTTTTATTTGTTTGTCCGTCAGATAGATTGTTGAAAAATAATAAACACGTATTTTTAATTTTTTTCGTAATCATAAAATCGCAGCTATACATTGAGTTAAAATATCACATGACGTCACGCTTTGGTACATTTTCTACAAAACTGTGACGTAGCGAGCCCCCACTCCTTAACTTTAATGCCTGTTATTTAAGCTATTTCTTGTTAAATTGAAGTTAAAAAAATACGTTTCTATTATGTGACTGACGGACTAAATAGAATTTCTTTTTTTTCTACCTAGTCGTCATCCCAATTAATAGTTTCTACTTGAATATTATTACCTAGACCCATTTACTTCTAACGAGAAAATGTTAATTCTTAAGATTAAAAAAAAAAACAGTAATACTCTTATTAAAGCAGACAAAATCTTTCGTCGTGAAATCTTAAAATAGGGTTG